CCAGGGAGAGTGTGAGGACCAGAAGAGGGAATAGTGAGCTGCTGTTGGGGAGTGCAGGGAGGGAGACAGATGTATGAAAACCTGTGCTGGTCACTGGAAGGAAGGTTTCAGACCAGCTTCCCAGCTGGGACAAGAGTGAAGTACCCACACAAATTGCTTGGACCAAGACTGCCCAGTCTCCTTTCGTCTCAAGGGCTGGTTGTGCAAAGACCTGTCGGAGTGGTACGCGTGTTGGGAGGCTCACTTCGTTAGTGCTTGTGAAGCACTCTGAGGACAGGAGGGGTTCTGGAGATGCTGACCAGTACTTTAGCAGGTAATGGAGCTTCTCAAAAAGAGCTGTCTTTACCCTGCAGCTACACCTGAGGTATTTTTCCTCCAGACAGATACTGCTGTCCGAAGGAGTCAGACTTCTGCTTTGAGTGTGCTGGAACAAGGTTGAAAGGCAGGAATATTCATGTCTCAGGGCTAGTTGCTTGGTATAGCAGCCTGCCTGTGCGTTCAGGGACACCACCACAGCATCTCAGGCTCTGGAGCTGTTGCACTCACTGCCTTACGATGGAAAATCAGGCTGTCGAAGTTTAAATCTTCAGCTGCTCCCAAGTATGTGCAACACTGGATGTAAAACTGCACCAGTCCTCTGCTCTTCTGTCTTCGCCTGATAGGCAAAAGGTCCCCGGTATCTAGGGGAGGGTGTCCCTGCCCGTGGTAGAGGAGTTGGAACTAAATGATTTTTAAGGTCCCTTCCAACTCAAGCCACTCTATGATTCTCCATCCCCTCCATTTGGAGATGGAGGTGCCAGGACTCCTAAATACCTGTGGATAGTCTACGGCATCTCTCCTTCGTACAAAACAGCGTTGGGTAACGGGAGATTGCAGGCACTGTGTTTGGTCTGTTCAGACATTTGGTCATGCCACGGAACAGTATGGACCTGAGCTCTCCCTTCACCTGGAGCCACCAGCACAGGTAGCCAGCTGGTAGCCTTCCTCTCTTGGGTTTCAGCACTTTTCCAGCACCCCATGCCTGGGGGCTTCCTGGGTTTACTGGTGCTGAAGGGGCAGTCCGGATTCCTCACTGGCCTCTGCCCGATCACGCTCCCTCACTTTGTGTGCCGTATGAGAGGGTACAGTTTGGCTTGGAAAGCAACTGAGCAAAGACATGACCATCTCCAGGGCTGTCTGAGGAGCTGTTACTCCACTGCTCATGGCAAACAAACCAGCCTGTATGGCAGGACAGGAAAAGTCCCATGGGTCTATTGAAGGGCAGAACACAACTGGGAGCAGCAGGGTGCTGTTCACCCAGCAGTTGCTGTCCAGACCACTGGCTTTGCACCCCGTCCACGGCAGAGAGCACAGGCAGGTGAAGCGTGGTCAGGCACAGGCAGTGGTGGTTACCACATATGGATGTGCACATCTCCAAGGTGAGGATGTCTAAGGACCTGGAGGAAGGACAGCAGCCATCTGGGCACTTGTTATGCTGCAAGCTCTGGTAGGGAGGAGCAGAGCTGAAAGCGGGCGTTCGTAGGAACATAGTAACAGAAGAATTGAATCATGAGGGGACAGAGAAAGATGAGTGGCATGGGGAGGTGCAGGGAGCCAGGCAGTGGGATGACCTGCCCTTATGTCGAGAAATGAAGACGAGACTCACTGCTGTTGTCCTCAGGAGCAGAAACCAAAGGCCACAGCCAGTGCAGTGGTGGCTTTACAGGAGTGTGAATGTCTGTGGGTGGCATGGAGACATTCAGGATCTGCTGGAGGAGGGAGAGGAGGACGAGGTGGAGGGTCATGGCTGCCCTTTGCCCTGCTGTTAGAAGGCTGGCAGAGCAAGGGGTACTCGCAAAGAGTGACAGCACCCTTTCACCCCAGCAGCTGCCATGGGGAATGGGAGGTACCACCAGGAGGGACTGCCAGGAGCTAACAATGTACTCCTGTATTCAGCCTGCTAGGAGAGCAACACCAAGTGGAACCTGAATTTGAATGTGCTGAATTTAAATTAGCTTGAAAAGGGATATCTGCACCCAAGGAGGTGCTGCCCTAGAAGGGAAGGAGACCTCTAGCAGTAACACAGCTGTATCAGAGGGTGATACTGATCAGACAGCGAACCCAGCATTGCTGCCCACAATGAGGGCTTCAGAGACCACCAGAGTACATCCATGTCCCCCTCCCCAAACACATTCCCCCAGCTCCTTCTGCACATTTCAATAGATGACGCAGGCCTGGAACGTAACTCCCTGTATTTTAGATCAATCTAGAGTGTTTCCTTGAAGGGAAGCAAGAGGTTTTGGCACATTCCCTGGTTTTACCAGTTCTTTTCCCCACCTTTTCACATAGTTTCCTTCAAAAATCAGCAGTACTATTGCTAAAGTCAAACCCTGTGGAGCGTAAGATCCCTCCTGCCTGGGGGATGCATCCATCCCCATCACTGCTTGCAGCATTGCTGGGTTCCCCCAGCCCCATCATGAGGTCCCAGTGACAAAGCTATAAGGAATGGGCAGCCAGCAACATGTGCTTTGCCTTGCACAGCTCTTGGTTTCAGTCAAGGGCAGTGGGATGCAGAATTTGAATCTACCCCCACCTTTTTCAGGTCACCAGGTCCTGTTTCTGACATGGGCAGGCAGTACAACATGGAGAGATGCACAGGAACAGGATAAGAGCAGTGGTTGTACCGTGTCCTCCCAGCTTTCAGGAGCACTTCTGCAATGGACCCAGACAACCTCACTTCTTTGTTCTCTTTAAGAAAGCTCAGTTTGGACCGAGACCCAAGCTCAGCCCCTGCACTGATCAAATTTTACTGCCATGTTGGTGAATGCCCAATCGTGCAGCCATGTCGCAACACGCTTCCACCTGTTAGTGGCTAGGACTGCTAGCTGGAAGCCAGCAACAGAAGCAGAGTAGAAGGCGCTGGAAGGAGAGAGAAACAAGGAAGCTGCACAGGTTGTTAGAGAATCTGGGCCAACTAGCTATAGGCAGAAGCCTTGCTCTCGTCGTGCCCGATTCCATTTTCTGGCCCTGACTGTGCTCCCATCAGTCAGCCACACACTGATCCTTAAGTCAGGATGGAGGTGGTAGAAGCTCCCACCCACTCTGGCTAAAGGAACTTTCAGTTCATGGCAGTTGCAGGTCTAGCAAAGGACACCTTTTGCTCTACCAGACATCCAGGCTCCGAGGCTCAGCTGAGGGCAGCTGCCAGCTGGGGAGCAGAGCAGGTTGGTATGGGGGAGAGGCAGTTTTGCAGCACAGACCCAAAATCCTGCAACAGGACAATTCCTCAAAAAGCAGGAACTCTTCACTTCTTCCTCATCTTTCAGGCTGGAGAGCAGCATATGGAAAGCAAAGCTGTCCTGGCTCTACTAATAGGTTTGAGACAAGTCTGCCCTGGAACTATGCTCCCCTTCTTCCCACATCCCATCACGTTGTCCTCTTTATTTTTAGCTCTTGAGCTGTATCCCGGCATGCATCCTTGTACCAAAAACGCTCAACCAGAATAAACTCCAATATCTCTTAGCTCCTGTTGCCTGTAATTCAGCAAAGGCCCAGCAGCCCCCAACAGCAAGACACTTGGCCACAGATGCTGCAGAAACCCCACAGAAGGAAGTATGTTTCAGCACATCAGCTATACTCTACTTGGTTAAAATTTAGCTACTTTTTGCATGCCAAAGTGAGCGACAGTCCATGGGCAGCAGGATGGAAATCCCCCTTGGGCAGCAGCACAAGTGTGCTGTGAAACACACACAAGCTCTCGCCTTACCACCTCTCCCACAGGGTGGGTGTGAGGGTCAGTGCAAGGGAACGGAAGAGATGAAGCCAGCAAAGGCAGCAAGCATTGAGTCCCCTAGGCAGAAAAAAAAAAAAGCCCTGCTGAAAAAAAAAAATATCAGTTTTGCAATCAACAGAGGTGGAAAAGCAGGTGATGGAGGGAAGAAATCAAACAAGCTGGAATTTGGAAGGACATCTCAGATACATACATCCACTGCCTAAACGCCCAAAGGGTAATAATACCTACCCCTCAAGTGCCAGCCCAAATTGAGTTGAACTCCAGTAGTCTGACCATTCATATATTCAGAAATGCCCAGCTTCTGTGTTTGGCACAAACATTTAATAGCATAATTCAAAACTCAGTATGTTCCATTTTAATCTTACGTGGAAAATTACTGCAGGTGGTAATCTAATTGTACAACAACATGTTAAAAAAAGTTTATTTTACATTATATACATTAGGCAACATATTTCAAAGCATTACCAATCACAGCAATAATGCAGGCCATAAATCACTTTAAATTTAGTTTGGTTTTAGTGTATATTATCACAATAAAATATAAAGAACACATACAAAAAAAGGAGTCAAATGTGTGCATTTTGCTAAAACTTGGCATTTACATACTCCATTGGAAAAGAGCAATCAAAAATACTTCGGATCAAAACTAAGTTCCTGTGATGTGTAGTAACCATTGTATTGTTTGAATGAGGTAGTAACTAAATTATTTTGGCCATGTATTAACACCCTAAATCAAGAAAAGTGTGAAAACGGTTATAAGGCCAAAAGAAGTCAAAATGGCAACATCTTTGAGCTACTTCCACAATGTGGAATATTGCTCCTTTTCATTGTGATGTGAAAAATATTCAGTAAGACGAACAGTAATACTAGTTTTTATAATTGTATACACTAGTAATTCAAACACCTATTGCAGAGTTACAGTCTGGTACCACTAGTATGGGACTGACACCCATCCAGAAAGTATTGTTTTCAAACATAGAGAAGTAATTGTACGGAAAGTTTTAATTAAATACAAAAATACAAGTGTTTAACTGGTTTGTTTCACAAAGAAAACTACCCAAGTAAACTAAAAAAAAAAAAGGAACTTTGAAGCCCAAGTCATATCCACAAAGTCACAGCTTACCTTTGTGACTAAATACATCACATATCAATACATTGTGCAAACATGAACACCAGTGTGTTGCATCAAAATTAAAACAAGATTGTAATCTGATTACAGCCTTCGTTACAATTTCTAAAAGTTAAGATTTATTTGTATTAGTAAATTACATATAATAAAATACAATAGCATTGTTAAATGTACTATATTTGTTGCTAGCATCCCACTTTATAATAAACACATGAGAAGTCCTAAAATAGTACCCCGATTTCATTTTTGCATCCTCAGCGACTTTTACATCTGTACAGGTGAGACACTTGTACTTAACAGGAGGACTGCTATCTACAGAAAGTCAGTGTAGGTCTTCAGCAAGAAGTTTCACTGAAAAATACTGCATATGTACAAAGATTACATAACAGTAAATTAAAAAACTTCTGTGGTATCATAAGGATTATGTGTCCATACCACAAACAATTCTTGTCTTCCTCTCATGCCACAATAAATTATAAAGTAACTGAAGTCGGGTTACTGCAGCTTTTGTGCAATTTCAGCCAGGCATGGATGCTGCTGCAGCAGGAGTGTTCTCTTGGCACGGTGAGTTGCCTGCCCACCTACTATTCTCAGTAACTGTTCTCATGCCCTGCCAGAATATATAAATTGCTGTTGGCTGTTGGGTTATCTGTCGGCCTACTCTCCAGCACCACGACCCTAAAAGAATAAAGCCACAACGCAAAGTAAGCCTTTGTTTAAAAACATCCCTGGATATAACTGTAAATATTCTTTCCCAGGATCCATCTGACCGGTGGTCATTTCTTTTTCCCTGGACACGTCTAGTCCAAAAGCCACTCAAAGCAAGGCCAGCCTCAAAGCTAGCTCAGGGTCTTGTCCAGGAAAGGTCTCCAAGGATCTCCCACAGCCTCTCTGTGCCCCTACTGCAGTGTTCAACCACCCTCACCATGGTGTTTTCCCCTTTTTTATCCAGGGGAATTTCCCTTGGTGCAATGTATGCCTGTTGCCTCTTGTACTTTCAGTGGGGGCTTCTGAAGAGGGTCCTTCACTCCCCTACTCCCTGGGCTTGTGCTTCCCTGGAGCTTTGCAAAGCTAACCTGTTAATCAGGCTCTAGTTCTGGAAGTCATTAGTCTTGGACATGACAGATGATGAAAGCTGACTTCTGTGAGCATTTCCAGTCTTTCCCTGAACCCATGTAACCTGAACCCACAGAAACTTCCTTGAGCTCCAAAATACTTTCAGAGCTTGCAGGCTGAGAGAGTCCTCAAGGAAAGGACTGTTATATGCAGAATCTTCTCTTTTATTCTCTTCTTGCCACCCACCTTTGGCCAGCATTGGAGACAGGAGACTGGGTACACTGGACCTACACTACAACTGCAAAGACCATAAAGGATGTCCTAGATCAGACTTTTCTCTTCAAAGGAGAGACATTAGCAGTCAATTCAGTTTCACAAACTATTTGAGATTTTTTAATCGGGCAAAAACTGCTAAATGGACCAAAACGTTCATGATTGAATTCTCCTCCACAAACACCCTGAAGTGAAGGTAGATTGTGGGAAATTCAAATTCACCTATTATGCATTCACCTGAGGAGAGGCTGCTTGCTTCAAAACTATCATCAGAAAACCTACTCTCTGCTCCATCTGGTCCACAAAGGGAATGACACCTCATGCCATGAAGCATTCCCTGCTCACCAGAAGAAAGCAATACACAAGCTCTTATCAGACTGATGTCATTTTTTTGGCTTCTCAGAACCCCAGTTCCTATGAACTGCCTAGGAAATGACAAGTGTTAAACGAAAAAGGTTTCACAGCTGAAACACAAAATATGACACAGCTGCAAGCAAAGTGGCATCTGAAGAAACTGGAATTAATATTTATTGCAATGCAAAGTCTTTAAACATTGTTTCAGACTTGAGAGACTATTAGTGCAAGCCAGAAATAGAGGGAACCATATTTGGGGAAGAGTGTGTTATTTTTCCAAAGCGATGATTTGTAGTGTCATGCTCCATTGTGAAGTCAGACTCATTTTTAAATTAAGCTGAGCTGTCTCTCAAAAACTAAGAGAAACGACATAATAAAGCTGAGCTCCATGCACACCTCATTGGAACAGAGAGAGGAAAATCCTCAGGTCAGAGATAAGTATTACTTACAACTACCCATTACCAAAAAGCTATCAGGCATTGCACATAAGGCAGAATCCTCAACCCCGGCCAGCAAAAATTGCTGGTAGCTAGCTGATAAAGCCTCAGCACCATTCACTACTGTTGATGTTATGGGCAATTACAGGGCTGCGCATCAAGCTTGGAGAAGCAGAATATCAGGAAAGTTGATGTGAAGCTTTTTTGGTAGTTCTAAGATGCCACAAGGGAGTGAGTTTACTGCAAGTGGTGTAAGACTAAGGTAATTCTCAAAAGAAAAAATAAAGCCTATCTTTGCACTTCACATGAATACATTACTGGTGAAAACATCACATCAGCACACACTCGTCAGAAGACAAAACATCTGCTGTTTTTGTGTCTGTTACAGAAGTATAAATTTCGACAGTGGGGCAGAGAATGTTGAGGAAGTCGGTGACACTCCTACAATAGCAGTTACTAACTCGGCAAGCTGGTAGGCATCTGATGGGTCAGACAGACACAGTGTTAGTGTCCTGCAAAGCAGACACCTAAGAATAGCTACGCTGGGAATTATCAAGAGCTCTTCTCTTACAAGACTTGAGTTGTCATGTTGGGAAGACAACTGGTAGAGTTCCTTTCTGGGAGTGAAAGTGAGATATTTATATTTTCAGATATTTTTTGCATTTGTCTCAAGAAGTAGATTTTGATGAGCTATGGCAGCAAAGCATCTGAAAGTAAAGATTTCTCCAAGTTAAACAAAAGAATTATAGCACAAAAAGGAAGACACTCCTGGAGACTGTGACTGCAGCCAAATAAGAGCTTGCTAGCATGGACGAGTACTTCTGGAAGCCCACAAACACTATTAGAAAAATTATTATTTTTTTTTTTAAGAAAGAGAAGTAAACTTGAAGGGCTGAAAGGTAGACATGTACACAAAGGAATGAGTATGATGGCTATAAAAGGAATCACAAGAAACAAGCAAAAAGAACTTTTACAAGGTAGAAGGAACACACATTATTCTTCTATTTCAGCATGCCAAGTTCACTTCTCTTCATACCTGTCAGATCCCAGAAGCCTGAATATCCTTGTATTATCAGAAATTTCTTGTGTGATCTAGACAATAAAAATAAGACAAGTATTTACAGGTTAAGTGCACAAGTGTTATTATTTTGTTTTTAAAAACAACCTAGAGAAGAGAGTTGACTATGACTGATGTTATCAATCTACTGCTGGTTTAAATCAGCTAGAGAATTTAATGCAACTGTCACTTTTAAATGAGATCTACAACTTTTCTGTAATTCCTGCCACATTATGTGAATTCCTCTGGTAGCAAACGCAAGCACAACAGGGCTCAGCACTGCACAGCATCCAAGCTACCGGTGCAATTCTCTTTACAGCCATGACTGAAACAGGAGGTAGCTGCAGGATGCAATTTGTCTCACTCTAGAGTAGATATCCAAAATGTGTCAGGTAAATCACAAATAAAATGCATTTTGTTGAAATTCTGAATCACAGTAATGATGCAGTAAGTTCATATTCTGAAAACCTTAACAGAGAAACATAATCTAATTTGTGGTACTTGTGTCCGCTGTGAAAAGAAAACATAGTATTTTGACACTTAAATTTCAGACTAGTGCAATAGAGTTTTGTTTCCTGCAGGTGAATTTGCCCTTGCGTGATACATCTCTATGATCACACAAATACCAAAGCACCACAGAAAACATCATGTTAATCAATAAAGTCAACTGAGGCCCACTGCACATTCCAAAAGACATCACGTCACACCGTGAACGGGCAGCACTTTACAAGGCTCCTTCTCTACACAGCCACATTTCACATTCCTGAGGAAAAAAGAGATTCTTCTCTCCTTCCCAAATCCTATTAGCATTAGCTGAGTTAGTGAATTAACTTCTGGCACAGAGAACTTGCAAGAGAATTTTAATTCGTAACAACAAAGTTCCCCACTTTGTTAAGAAAATTACTTCCTGCTTGTTGTGGGGCTGAGTCTGCACAATCTTGGCCCAAATGCTGAGTGTCTCGTCTCAGAATTCACACAGTTCCTTGTTCGTTCTTCCCACTCAATCAAACCACTGTGGAAGGAGGTCATGGTTGTGGAAGGAAATAACTTTGCAAGCAGGTCAAATCTTCCCCAATTAGACCAACTGATACTAGATTAGGGAATCTAAACTAAAAACAGCCAGGAGAAAGAAGGAATTTAAAAAGGCCTGAGAGCTTACCCTAGATATGTTCTACAGAGAAAAAGTTTTGCGTGGCTTGCTTTCTGACAACAGCTCAGTTCTGCCTTCTGTTCTTCATTTAGGTCCTGGCTTTGTCTTGACAATAACAAAGCAAGAAGACAGCATTCCTTGTGCTTTACATAAACAATATAAAGCACCCACTTACACTACAGCACTCTGGGGCATGTTCTCTAACAACTAGATGAGAGCTACTGAGTGCCAGTGGGTGGGGTAATCCACTGAGTCTTGCAGAACGCTGCTAGCAGGAGTCTGGAGTTGAAGCAGTGCCTAGCAGCATCATCTCCTTCTCACAGTCTGTGCTAACAGCAGGGTGCTGCAGCTCATTATTAGGAGTTCTTGGGAGAAGGACATTTATTCCTGGGGATCGAACATGCATAAATGCCACAAGAACCATTTGCAGACTTGGAAATAAGAAGGAGTCTGGCTCTAGTCTTTGGTCCGACTTCCCGCAAAGAGCAGGTTTACTGTCAGCACAGATTAGGTCAGCAGTGGCTTTGTGCAAGTAAGTGTGGTTGTGTAACTGTGGAATATCTAAGCTTGGCATGGTGTGACTGTATGTGTACCTTAAAATACAACTAGTCATCAATTTCTTAGCCAATGCGATACTGATGAAAGAAATGAAGTCTGTAAACATTCTTTAATAAACAAATTAAAAGATTCACTAAAATCCTACAAAGCACAGAATTTCCACTAACACATAGATGCACAAGGTTTGCAGCGAGAAAAAAAGGAATTGGGAGGGTACTTACAAGGGTTTAACAATGTCTAAAAATCACATCAAACTGGCTTAAAAAAGGGACTACACAGAAATTTTAGAAAAACATCTTTAGGTTAATCTGACATTTTTCTTCTGAGAATGGAAAATACTTCTCGTGAAAGCTGGACACTAAAATCTTCAAAGTACTCATAAGCCAAGGGAACATGGAAGAGACTAAAAAACAATAGGCAACTCATTTGGCACTGCAACAAAAGCTAAGGCTGAGGGACTGACACAGGTCTTCAAAGCAATTTAAGGTGAAGATGATTAGTGTGACCAAGAATTAGCCTTGGGTGTTTTCTACGGCATCATGGCCCAGTCTCTTGTTGCTTTGTATGCTGGACTTGACAGGGGCTATTAGTCTGTAGCTTATGAAAATGCTTAGAATGAAACTCCAACCTCCAGGACTAACCTAAGAAGTCACTGAAACATTTTACTCTTTTTCAGACCACAGCTTTATGCATTTATCCTCTACTTGGCTTATATTAGAAGCTAGAATTTGAAGCAAAATGCAGTACTCACCTCATTTGATCTAAAACTCCTTCCTTGCATGCCGTGTTTCCAGAAGGCTAACACACTGTCTTGTAGACAAACTAGTAACAAAGAACACTGGAATCAGTTTTGAGGCACAGTGTCAACTAGTGCTTTTAAGGCCGAAAGCAAATGACTGCAATTTTGAAATTTATGCATGTATGTTTTACTGTATCACGTCCACCCACACAGACTGCAAAACGTCTCACAGGAATCACTGAACTTGCCTCAAAAGTAGCTTCATTTATATATTTATTTGTTTGTTTAATGAATGGAGTTTAAAAATATTCCCACCCAACCAGAAAAAGTTCTATAACTGTCCTTCTGTCTAGTCCTAAACATGTCCTTTCCCTTGAACAGGCAACCTCTCCTCATCCTAACAATAGCAGAAAATATATACTGAATTTTACCAGAAAAGTTACAGGGATACTGCAGTGACTGACATTTTTCACTTTCCCAGCGATTATTGGCCAATATAGTCCTTCTGTAACAGCAACATGAAGCTTTACAGAACCCTCTACTTCCCAGCCCTTCCCCCTGTTACAAACCAGGTGACAGATACCTGCAATTGAACTCTGGAAAAGGAAATGGGTCTAAGGCCTTCCTCAAAGAGAAGGCAAGTATGTAGGTCCCCAGGAAGAATCTGTCCCACCTGCATCCAGCATCTTGCCTCTAGCAGAGCTCTTTGGAGACATTATCAGGCCAGAACAGGACACTGGTAGCTTGTTTATGATGAGCAGAGGACTACAGCACGTGCAGGGGTCCCACAGAGAGCAGCTTCAAGTACATCTACTCCTTCCTTCCCCCCATTCTTAATTAACAGAGGCCATAAAAGTAATGTTTTCCACGACAATGGTTTTTTGTCTTCTCTGTGGACATTATGTTTGAAGTGCCTGAAACTTTAAAGTGTCTCCTCAGAAGTAAATTCCCTCCAACTCATTGCATATTTTTGTTCCCACTGTTCCTCCTCTTCTGGTGCTACCCTCCATCTGTGCCCACATCTTTCCTCATGTCTCTTTCAAAAGCATGTGATGAAATCCAGGTACGTAACCACTGGAGAATTGTCAAAAAAACTGTATTCTGTCTTTCTGTTTCACAAATCCAATTCATTTAGATTCTTCACAAGCAAACAAAATTTACACAAAATGTGACATGTCATTTAGTCTTTGAGCTGCTTTATAAAAAACAGACTGCATGAACACATATGCAGAATGAGTTAGCCAGAAGTGATTCACAGAGTTTATGTAGGTTGTGTTAAGGTATTCCTTTAGAGTCTGAAGGTCTCCATTAGATTCCCAAGACATTTAGCCTAATTAAGGAAGACTCCAGGGCTACTACTCCGTTCCAATTTTTCCTAGGGAAGCACATCACATATTTTTTTGAACCCTTTCACTGAGCCTTCTCGCACAAAGTGAAACTCACGAGGTAGTGTTTCAAATGCAAAAAACTAGTCAGTTAGCATCTCTAATTCTGTACTGTAACAGTAAACAAGTTAATCACAGAATATCTTAAGTTGTAAGGGACCCATAAGGATCTTCGAGTCCAACTCCCTGCTCTTCACAGGACTACCTAAAACTAAACCATATGACTAGGAGCATCGTCCAGACACTCTTTGAACTCTGACAAGCTTGGTGCTGTGACCACTCATGTGAGAAGCCTGTTCCAGTGACCTAGCAGTCTCTGAGTGAAGAACCTTTTGCTAAAGTTCCAATCTGAACTTCCCCTGATGCAGGTTCACACCACTTCCTTGTGTCCTATTGCTGGTCACCAGAGAGAGGAGATCGGAACCTCCCTCTCTGCTGCCCACCTTGAAGTTGTATGATGAAGTCACTCCTCAGCTTTCTCTTCTCCCAGCTGAACAAACCAAGTGACCTCAGCCACTCCTCCCAAGTCTTGCCCTTGAGGCCTTTCACCATGTTGGTCACCCTCCTCTGGACACACTCTAATAGTCTGATGTCCTTCTCTGTGGACAGTCGCCCAAAACTGCACACAGGTGAGGTGGGGCTGCACCACAGCTGTGTAGACTGGGACAATCACCTCCCTCGACCAGCCAGCTATGCTGTGCTTGATGCACCCCAGGACATGGCTGGCTCTTCTGGCTTCCAGGGCACGCTGCTGACTTGCCATCAACTCATACCCCCCGATCTCTTTCTGTGGGACTGCTCTCCAGCTTCTCGTCCCCATAATTTATATGTATAACCAGGATTACCTCGTCCCATGTGCCGAATCCAGCACTTGCTCTTGTTAAATTTCATATGGTCGGTGATTGCTCAGCTCTCTAGTCTATCCAGATATTCAATATTAATAATGAAATCCAACTTACCTATTGATTCAATCTGAAAGTCAAACGTGAGCTCCGATGACAGTTTGCGGCTGGATTTTAACCTGCCTTGCAGATTCACTATTTTTATGCAGCCTAGACAATAAATAGGATATGTCAACCAAGAATTAATCTTCAATATATTTGAAGACAGATAGTATGCATGTACATGCATATATATATATATTTACTTGATACTAAAACTTACAATCCAAACACACCAAAATGGTATCTCTCTCCAACTGTGTTACATGCACAACACTTGTCTCTGTAGTGTCTATAAAAAAAATGAAAAAAAATGACAGTGTTAGCTTATAACATAAATTACCATGAAATCTGAGATGGAAGTTCTAACGATTCAGACAATTTAATGGGTTAATGTGTTTTTATCTACTTAAAATAATTATCTTACCAGTGACATTTATCTTCTCTTAGAGAGGCATGTCCACTTATCCAACATGTGGACTGTGAGAGGAAAACTGAAGCTGTAATATTAAAGTATGGACTTAATCCAGCCTTTTCTCAGCCATGTCACAAAAGCAAACTCACATGTACATTGTTCTCCCTTTATTTTCTGTTGGTGTCATTTAATATTGCTGTTGCAAAAAAAGGCAGACATATGAGACTGTCCACACTAAACTTGAATGCTGTTTCACTCCATTTTTCTTCTGTCCTTATTTCTAAATCTTGCTAGGGATTTTTATATTAGTACTTAATTCTTGCTGCTATTTTCAGACTTTCTATCCCCAGCTATTGCAAAAATAGGGGATTATTTCTTCTCCAAACTCTTAAAAGAAGGATTACCTTCCTATCTTCTGGGTTACAGCTGCAGCAGTCTCCATCACAGTAAATAGTGGATCTGACCCACAAGTGATTAGTGGACACATCAACTCAAATGCGAAGAGCAGTTTTGGTCCATTTGTTTAACATTAAAATTACACAAAAAACAGTTCTTACTAATTCAGCATTACTGCCAGCATTTTTCATACAGAAAAGAGAAACTCATTGAATCTGTTAGAGATGAGAAATTAGAGCATGTTACCTAAAATACAAAAGCAGCTTTCAGTTCAATAAAAAAAAATAAAAATTCCATGGTCCCATTGAGAAGCACAACACTCCTCAAGGATGATGGCAGAAATGTGCTCATTGAGATCGTCCCATGGATATAGCCACGATGAAAACATGCAACAGAAGCACTGGAGGATAAAAATCTGTACAACCACATTATGCGATGTGGAAATATACATTGCACTGGTTGAAGCTAACAAGAGAAGGAAGACAAGGCGAGAAGCGCTCTGCCAGCTAATTTTTTTAAAAAATATTTTTATCAGATGTTTACAAAAAACCCATCAAATGTCAAACCATGATAAAAGCTATTTGATGGAAGCTATTTGTGACCATATGGTGTACACTTCCCTGTTTAAAAAGCACTGAAAAATCTGTTTCATTGCATTATGGCTCTCCTGCCAGCAGGGGACAGAAATAAACATATACGACATGAGGGTTTACATTAGAGTCAAACAAATAGGAGAAAATAACAACATTGATGCAACACAAGAACACACAAATGATTCAAGGAAGCTAAAGAAGTATTTTTGGAAGGCACAATGCAATGTTAAATTTTCCACATTAAAAAAAAAGAGGAACTGGGAAGGGATTACTCTTCTTGTGTATTTACACACTGATGCTATAACACTGAGAGAAAAGTAACAGCAGGACATTGTGGGTCAAAGAATTTCTCTACAGAGTGCTACTTTTATGGACTCTACTGAAGCCACACACTTACACAGACGTATGAGTTTGAAAATAAAATGCACCAACTCTGAAGTCATTAAGTGCATTAATGGGCCATCCACTGATCACTTCATTTTTTGTAACTATGCTTTAAACTGTGTCAAAATCTGATGTACTTTTCAGCAGCGAGAAAGTCAGCAGGCATCTTCCTAGTGGAAACTACTTCTTAGTGAATTTGACAGTACACAATCAGCCAGGCTTATACATGTATATATGCCAGCACAGGGCTACATAGAAATTCATCATGTATCAACAAGGGCTCTATGCCTGGCAATATCAAAGCTATTTACTGCTTCTAAACCTGCAAGCTATGACTGGGGTCAGCTCACTACTGAATCTAGGTTTAGGGGGGAACCTTGCAACTCTAGAAAAGTAATTCTTAGCACACTTCCTTCTTAAAGAGAATTTCCACTGTTGCTCCTCACTTATAGCACCCAGACCAGTGACAGACAGGTACTTAGTTTCCTGCTACCAGTGGTCCTAAACCCTTCCGTAAACATTGGAAGAATAGAAATATGCTCTCTCTCAGCAAGAGGCTGATATCACCTCTTCTAACCACACCGGGTTAGGAGAGCCTAAACCACACTGCAGGAGAGCCAAACCACACCTACAGTGATGCTGAAAGAAACTGCTGAGAGTGCAATTCTATTAAAATCTATTAAAGAAACAAAACGCATGCTGCCAGGGTAGAGCACAAAACAGTGCAGTGGGTAACAGTCAAGTACAGCCTTATTTATGGAAATGCAAGAAACCACGACTCCATCCTCTGCTATACTCAAAATCTCAAGAAATCCAATCAGTTCAACAGGTAGAAACATCAAAAAAAAGAGTACATGTGCAAGCAGGTACAACCAGATACCCCTTTAAATGGAGAACTTACAATTAGCCTTGATGATTAAACCATAAGTTTCCTTAGAGGAAACCTTTCTAGTGCTTCAGCTATAACAGAAAAGCAAGAAACATTTCTGAATGCAATTACAACAGCACACAAACCTGTTTCTGTAAACCATGAAGAGGTAGAATTTGGGTTGACGGTCTCAAACTTCACCACCTGATTGAAGTCTCTTCCTCTGCTGACACCAACACAAACTAAAGGGAATTCCTGCTCAGGGACTACCAGCATTTCAAACAATCTCAGTGGACAAGGTACAGGAAAATCTATGTGCTAGGTTAGGAAACAAAAACAGATATTAGAAGGGAAACGAGTTTAGTCTAAGTTGCTATTAGCTAACTGTATCATAGACTTTTATACCATACATTTTGTAACCTTAAGTGTACTTCTTCAGAAAACATTAATTGATAGATACAAAAAGCCTGAATTAAGAAGTTTACAGAGCCTTCACGCTGATACAGCTAAAACAAGATAGGATGTCTTTCAGCATGTGTGTCCTGTGCAGCTGCCCACAGATGACAGGAGTGCTACACGCATCACTGCTCTCCCCGACTATGGAGTCACTAAGCCTTGTTTCCCAGACTGATCGAGTTATAGCAGCTACCTTTCTACAAACATGAGTCCACCCTGGCTCTGTCTCTTCAGATGGTGTCAGATGGGGAGATAACACACGTTTCTGGGCACCTCCACAGTCACAAAGCACAGAATAAGTGGCCCTTTTTCTCTGGTATGGGAGCAAGCCCACTGTTAACCCTTGTTAACACTGCCATGTCTCAGTCTGTCAGAAGTTTTTTTACTGTGCAACTAAAAGGCAATGTTCACGGAGAGAAGGGCTTTGCTCTTTAAGTGAAGGGCACCACAAAACCAAGAACATTCCTACAAGTATTCTAAGTCAGTTAATACATATTACATATTTAAATAGCTATTTTCAATGTAATTTAACAGAAACCAAGAGAACAGAGAAAAGTCTAATAACTCAAGAAATGGCTAAGATTTATTCTAAACGAGTCATTACAAGACAAGTAGAACTGAGCACAGAAGTATTTCACCTTATCTTAATATTACCTTGATTAACATAAATTTTTGCATTGGTTCAACCCATTCTAACAAAACAATGCTAGACTGTAGTGCTCCACAAAGGTACTTGTGGCCTGTGTAGGGATTCCTTACTGCCAAAAAAGGAGATATAGAGTACATTAGTGCACTAAGCAAATACAAATTATAAACAATTTCCAACTAAATAACAGTCCATACACTTTTGGAAAATACAACACACACCCCCCCCACCCCCCACCCCCCATTCCTTTATATAAGGAAGCTGCTGAAAAGTCAACATCCATGCCACGAAAATGGTGATGGCAAGCATGGTGGAGCAGGGGCTACCCTTCCACCAGGCAAGAACAGCTACTAGCTGGTGCCAAATAAGCCATAATAAACATGACTCTCAAGAGTGCTGGTGTATGTTTCCCCTCTTGAACTCAAAATAAAGTTTATTGTTGGTTTTTTTTAGACTGGTAGGTGGGATTTACTAAAAAAAAATCGTTGACTGCATACACATTTGAAGGATCTTGCTCTCCCATGTTGGCTGCCTAAGCTATCTCCAAATCATCACGAGAAGCTGTTAAAGAATGGCTTTTTCTATGACACACAGACAGTTAGCCAGCAGGCACTAAACAATCACTGTCACTTGAGAACTGCTCAGCTGCCTTCCAAGCACTGTCACAGTCAGCCTGAAATCCAGGAGCTCTATATTTCTGTTGAATGCTTCTAGATCAGCAGAAAATTCATTGTTTTTTTTAAGTGACATCATCTATTTCCACTCAACTGCTCTTCTATTGTTTGTCGGAACTCAATTAAAAATTGGAAGAGAAAAACAAAGTTGCAAAATTGGGCACTGTTCTGAAGTTTCATAACTTTAATTCTACAGTATTGACAAAAATTTCACTCCTGAAGCACTGCCAGCATATCCATTAAAACAAACAAGTGTTTGTACAATTACATCTAAAGACCAGATTTTTAAAGTGCAGTAAAGTGACCAAGGGCCATCAGGGAATTAACAATACAGTTCCAATAACGATCTTCTACAATCCAGTACTATCTACATAAATGAAACACACTCATGCTACCTTACTGCCAAGGAAATCCACTAGAAATCCCTTGGCACTTTAAACATCAAAGCTGAATTTCATTAATCCAAGTTCTCAATGTCAGTCAAAGCGACTGCAAACTGCAGTGAATGATGCTTGGCATCACCTTTAGTAAGGCTGAACTCAGCAGCAGAAACAACAAAACATGCAATTACCAACACCTGTAAGTAAGGTGGAGAAACAAGACCAGAAGTTCTCGTCTTTTTCTGCCTCCCGTGGCACTGCTGCTTCCCTCAGGCCAAAGGGATACTTACGCTGCTAACAGGAAAGGAGGCTCAGGCTGCTTGTAATAAGTAGGTCAGGAGAGGGGAATCTATCATTTCTCCCCTTGGACTTGCCTTTTGCAGCTGCCCTTGTTGCCATCACAAATTACCACCTAGGCCTATCATGCAAGGACTCCAGGCTTAGTATGCTAAGCTGTCTCTGAATGCCAGGACAGCAGATTACCCCTCGTAATGGCAAGTCCCACGTCATTCTTGGTAAATTGTGTCCCTGTTAGTACAGAAACCACAAGAATACAGAGGTGCACACCACAACGTTTCTCATTTCATAAACAAAGACCTGAAAACATACGTACTTCCATATGAATTTTCATGTCAGAAAGCCAGCATTCCTACCTACTCTCATCCCTGCCTCTCCACCCCTTCGTATGTTCCCTTCAGCATCCATTAACATTCACAGCTTGACTAGATGCCTTAACTAGGGCAAGGCCTGGCCATACACAGTACATATCGTTAACATCCTACCACACTCCAAAGGATTTGCATCCTAGAAAAAGTCACATTTTAACAGGTGAGCTGGACAAAGAAGTGATAACAAACATCAAATGTTTTAGCAATATTGGGGAGATTTTTCTCAGGATAAACAACATATGTTCGCTTACCACTGAGTCTGTGAAAATCTCTTGTATAGTACAACTCCTCACAGCAAACATTTACTCATGGAATACCAGGTGAAACATTTTCAGGGACAAAAGCTCAACTCCAAGCGATCATCCATAGCTACCTTTCCTGGTTTTGTTTTGTTTGTTGGTTTTGGTTTGTTGTTGGGTTTTTGTAGTGGTTTGTTTTTGTTTTTTTAATCTATCTGCCCTCATTCCTCTTTTAAAATGTCTTAAGACAGTGCAGCTTTGACACTTCAGTAACTGGCACTTTGAACACACTTATAGGCTTCAGAGACAACACTGTCCTCAAACAATTGAAAATACTCCTTGCTTTTTATCATCCAATATTGATAACTGGAACTTGTGCTAGGAAGTCAGGCACCTCAAGACTGATGGGTAACTTTAAATCACTCCATCCTTGGAGATTGGGTTCTTCCTGAGGGCTGGTTTAAATCTGACACACATTCTGCTTCTCTGTGTTTCTTGAGAATTTTCTTTAAATATAAAGAGCAAAATGGAAAAAAGTTTTCACTGCTGAAACGCAAAGACTAGCCTGAATGAGCTCACTGTCTGCAAATGCATAGTTTCACAATAATGACAAAAGTCTCTTCTCTCTTTACCTCCTAAACCTGACTCACTAATCTTAATACTGCCACCATTTGTACTGCTTCTTGGCATTTATTCTGCAGATCTTTACTTACCAACACAACACTTCTGACACCATTTAGTGTCAGGAATTTTTGTAGACACTGCAAACTTCCTACAAGATACAAATACAGAATTATTAATCAATTAAAACAACTGAATGAATTTGCTTTTTAGAGAGTTCATAGATTTCTAGGTTGGAAAAGACCTTAGAGATCATTCAGTCCAACTGTCCCTAATCCTCCATTAAACCATATCCTTAAGTAGTTCATCCACCCTTTTCTTAAACACA